GTGAAAGGTACAAGTTATCAGACTAGGATCTACTCTTGCCACTGATGGACAACTCTCCATTACTTTCTCTAGAGACTCTTGAGTGTTTACAGCCTTTTCAGGGGCTCAAATTAATTTGGAACGAAAGTCTATTCTAAGCCAGACTTCTCAGAGATACTATATATAAAATGTAGGACTAGATGCAGGCCATGGTCTTCTGAATTACTTGCTATGTATCAGAAAATTGGTCCGTGAATGAGGATGACAGAAGAGCAATTGATGCCTTCGAGCTGTGGTGCTGGAGAAGAGTATTCGATATTCTATGAACTGACAAAAGAACAAACATATATATGTCTAGGGAAAAGGGCAGCCAGAGTGCTCCTTGGAGGCAAAGATGATGAAGCTTCGTCTTTCATACTTTTGAATGTAGAGAGGTAAGGCTATTTCTTGGAACAGGACATCGTGCTTGGGAAGATGTGAGGGTCGGCAAAGGGGAGGAAGACCCTCAGTGAGATGATTGATATGGTGACTTCAGCAATGGGCTCTAGTGTCCGATATGAAGAGGATAGCATAGAATATGGCAGGATGGTTTGACTGTTCATAGGCTGTTATACTCCACTCAAAAGCACCTACAAACAACAACAGTTCTATAAGCTCTGTTATTGGTCCTTTCAGCAAACAAAAAAACAACACAGTCACACATTGTGTGAGACTTGTTCAGATCCTTACAAGAGAAATGAGGACAGAGGAGGGGATTAATAATAGCTGTGGACTGTTGACACTGAATGTCTCCTGCCTTGGAACTCTTAATTTGATTCCTGTCGCTTCCATTACATTGTTCTTCCTGGGCCCTGATCTTCCTTTCTCTTTGACCAAAGCACAAACAGAAGAGAAGTCACTCATTCATACATTCAACAATGTGCTCGTTGAACACTTAATATTTGCCAAAAACCATGCTAGATTCCGAGAATATAAAGATTTAATGCAATGTATTTAATGAAGTAACAAAGTACTTTGAATAGTGTCTGATATACAACAAGTATTAAATATGTCAGCAGTTAGTATTATCATATTCACTCCTCAAAAAACTCAAACTCATTGCTGTCAAGTTGGAACCAACTCATAACTGACCCTCCACTGGGTTTCTGAGCCTGTAAACAACATGGGAAGAGATTGCCTATTTTTTTTTTCTCCTGAGAAGCCACTGGCTGATTCGAACCGCCATGGAAGTGTGATTTTGCATTAGCCACACGGACTTTGACACCAGATGGCTTTGCATGAATAGCACAATGGTGTTTTTAAACATTACTGAACCCTGGTGAAGGAAAAGGAAAGCTATTTCACGTCAGTTATCCAATAATCAGGGGGTCTTACTTTCACCTCATAAGCTTGTCCTGGCATTTTTGAATGGAGTGTAACATTACAATTTAGGAAAGATTCATTGGCACAAAAGAATAAAAACCACCACAAGATATAGTGTTTTAAAAAACATTTTTTAATGAGGAAATAATTCCATTCCAAAATATAGACACACAATTAAATAGTTTAATCACTTCAAAATATAACATGTCCCCAGTAGGTTCCAATGCACACGCACATGCGCGTGCGCGCTCGCGCGCGCGCGCACACACACACACACACACACAAAACAATACTTAACAGCAATACAAAAAAAACCAAAACAAAACCAAACAAACTCATACAATAGTAGTTTTGTTACAATACCAATGAATATCGTGAAATTTTTAGTGTCTCTGAATTGGTTATTTCAAAGGGTATCGAATTACAGTAGTCATAATTAAAAATGTCTTACAGCTAATTAGCCTCAAGATGTAAGCTTCTGCTTCTCTCTTTTTTTGGGGGTGGGGGGGCGCTTTCCAAAGTAAAATTACCCTTCTTTCTGAGGACTCAATGGAGTTACTTTTTCTGTGGTTTCTTACTTGAAATTTGAACCAAGGTGATGGCAGCAACCACCGGTTGCTGTATTTACAAGGTTTATCTACAACTGACAGCCAAGAACTAATAAGGGTGGACGAAGATGAGCAAAAGAAAAGCAGACATCAGTGCTAAATAATGATGCAACAGTTTGGCTCATGCATATAAGAAAATACAGAGTATATCACAATGAAGGCCACACTCTTATGCAATTCAGTTCACATTACTACTTACAAATCAACCTTCCCTGCCTTGGAGTAGATCATTCAAGAACCCATTGTTCATAATCTCCAGCACGTCTCCCTCTGACCAACCAAACGTACCCCAACTTCCATCCTGACCAACCACAACTGATTCCTGAATCCCGTAGTACAGTAGATTTCACCCTCCCCCCTGCGAACATGGTGTTCTGGGGGGGATTTGCTGTGTTAAACCAGTGCTTATTGATAGGCCATCATTTCTGATGGGGGTGGGTGTGCAATTCTATGTGGTACAGGCAAGAGACAACCACGGAAAGATGTAATTGTAACGGCTAGGTGAATCCTGCCGGGTTTGCACTTAGATCAGGCCCCAAAAGTAAATTTGGAGAGCCAAGGAAAGAAATCCGCCCCAAATCACAAAAAGCCAAAACAACACACGCCATTTTGTCTTGGTGACAGGACGGGGGTGCTTGGATCTGGTCTCAGTGCTGACGTGGAGCTAAGAGAAAGAAAAGGTGGCTGGTTAGTCAGGAATTGGTCACTGGCAGCAGTTTCCAGTGTTCTTGCAATGGCTTTGGACAATGGTATCAACAACTGTGCAATGGAGTTGTCGATGAAAAGCTATGTGACAAGGGGGAAGGTTATTGGCGAAACAGTTCCAACCCTAAACAAACGTTTGGATGCAGAAACACAAAGTGACAAGGGGTGTCAGCATGGTCCAGTCAGTGGCAGAAGGGCCAGTGACAGGGCTGATGTGCAGGTTCAGGAACTCCCTGGCGCTGATTGAGAGCTGACAGCGATGCAGGTAGTTGGGATGTAGTGGTTTTAAGTACTGAGTATGAGGCCACCTGCCCCATCTCTAGAGAGGTATGGTTTCACAGAGTGGAAAAGAGATGAACGTTAAGACACACCGACAAAACCCACAATAAAAATACGTCTGTGCAAAGAAATCCAAGAACTGTGCGGTTGTACCACTTTGGTGTCAGCCTGAGCTCGGGGACACTTGCCAGGCTGCTTCTCTGGAGGAAGGATGCGTGGCTGAGTCTGTTAAGGGGTAGGATCAGTTCCTCACAGACGCCAACCAAGAGCAAAATCCTCAAGGCCAGCAATTTGGACCCAAAGGGCCGCCAACGAGATGATTTCGAGTCAAATGAACATCTCACTGACCTCTCTCTGGAGAGAGCTAGGAGATGCCGGGCCGG